CTTATGTGTCCTGGTGAGGTTCATAGCTTAACATGGCACTTATCTTGATATTATGTGAGATGTTATACATTTGTCTCTCTTATAAATACACTTTCTTTCTGTAACGGCACCCCAGGCATAAAAGGGTTAAACCACCATTTAGTCGATCTTCCCCTTCCAGAGACACAGGCAGCTACTGCAGAACACCAAACTCCTGAACTGAATACAAGGGAATGCTCCAAACTCCCGAACTGCATACAAAGTAGCACTCCAAACTCCTGAACTGGAACCTCACGAATAGCTGCTAGCAGACGAACAGGAAAAGCACCCAAGAGGCTTACACTCCTGGCAATCAGTCTCTAACAGCATAAAGTAAATCCCCCCAAAGATGAGACAGAGCTCTGTGTTTAGGGTCAAGCAGTGGTCTGGTTTATTGAGGGCTACCTGCCCAGTATTTATGCAGGTCTCCCACCTGGTGGACACTCCCCTAGGGGACCAGATGGGAGACTGTAACACAGAAAGACATGTATCACATTCAGACACACAGAAGTAAAACATCCCCACAATGCATCCTAATTTCTCTCCCTCTATCCCGGAGATAAGTGGGAAGTAATCCAATTATCTCCCAGGACAGAGGCAAAACTCCATTATACACGTGGGGACACAAAGACAGTAAAATACTTTAAAATATACAAAGTTACATTTAATACATAAAATACAGACATGTCACATATCCCCAGATAGCTGGGATCTGAGCGCACATAACTACCAAATAGCGCTCAGATCCTATTCACACAGTTCAATTGCCATGGAGCCAAAGTCTTTGATTACACAAATAGGCTCCATGGCATAGCTATCTGGGTTAAAACATTCACTGAAGTAAAGTCCCAATCAATTCAGTGTTCAGCTAAACAGCCACGAATAGAAGCAGGGAAGGCTGGAGGCTCAGCGGTGCCTGCACATAAAAGTGTCCGCTTTTAGTGCACTGATTCCAGGCTGAGCACCACTGGCCGTCCGGCGGGGTTTACTGCCTTCCCTGGGTATGTCAAGCTGCCGCTGGGGAGAGGGGGTAACAAGCTCCTCTCCCATACATGCTTCCAGCCGTGAGGGAGGGAGACTGTCTCCGCTCCCTATACAGAGTCCTGCTGCTGGGGAAAGAAGACTGGGCTCTCTATTCCCTGTAGGACACTCTGCCACTGGGGAATGGAGACTGTGCTCCCAATTCCCTGTAACACACGCTGATGAACTGGGGGACAGGACAGAGCTCTGTGTTGAGGGTCAAGCAGTGGTCTGGTTTATTGAGGGCTATCTGCCCAGTATTTATGCAGGTCTCCCACCTGGTGGACACTCCCCTAGGGGACCATATGGAAGACTGTAACACAGAAAGACATGTATCACATTCAGACACACAGAAGTAAAACATCCCCACAATGCATCCTAATTTCCCTCCCTCTATCCTGGAGATAATAGGGAAGTAATCCAATTATCTCCCAGGACAGAGGCAAAACTCCATTATACATGTGGGGACACAAAGACAGTAAAATACTTAAAAAATATACAAAGTTACATGTAATACATAAAATACAGACATGTCACATATCCCCAGGTAGCTGGGATCTGAGTGGAAATAACTACCGAATAGCGCTCAGATCCTATTCACACAGTTCAATTGCCATGGAGCCAAAGTCTTTAATTACACAAATAGGCTCAATGGCATAGCTATCTGGGTTAAAACATTCACTGAAGTAAAGTCCCGATCAATTCAGCGTTCGGCTAATTAGCCACGAATAGAAGTAGGGAAGGCTGGAGGCTCAGTGGTGCCTGCACGTAAAAGTGTCCACTTTTAGTGCACTGATTCCGGGGTGAGCACCGATGGCCGCCCAGGAAGCTCCATAACACCGCCACCTTGCGGCCGCTAAGCGTAACCGTGCCAGCTTCTCGGTGGTCGCGCCTTCCGTATTTTGTTCGGTAGATTAAATCTACCGAACGCCCTGGCAGAAAGGCATGAATAAACTAAACTAAGTAGAGATGCAGGAAGTGTATGCTTGTTCTGTGTTTCTGGTATTCTACATATAATCCCTATTGATATCATATCCCAGTACATTTTAATCTCCACATATTTTAGAGTTGTGCTATCCTTATTTTAGTAAGAAAATGTATAATAAATAGCAGAAAAGAGATTGAGACAAATCGACTGCAAAGTAAAAGGAACTCTATCATTGATAATAAATAAATGCATCTTTATCTCTGTAAAATATACCACAAGTGAGTTCCTATCGATTGCCCATTTCAATTGAGATCTAATATAAACTCTGCAGCAAATGCTGGTTTTGAAATTCATGTCACATTTTTAAACTTCTATTTTATTGGATTTTTCAGAGTATAAGAAATACATAAAAGAAATATAGAAGAAAGTAATCCATAGTGGGGATGTACGTATCACGTTTTGACATATCAGTACATCTCACATGTAGGAACATTGTGTAGCTGTGCTATGAGTCAACATGTCCGGCAGATATTTTACCTTTGGCTGGCCTCTGCACTCTGTAAAGCAATACAGTTGCGGGGATACAGCTGTATTGCTTGAGATAACAGGGTAGCTTTATAGTACCCTGCAATGTTAGGGACTCGCATCCTCCCTCACCTGTTGGGGTGAAGATAACAGAGGTCTCTTAAATTTCCAGATGTAAGTACAAATCACAGTACAAGTACAAGTCTGTATCTCTCAGAGGTGAGGATCAAGTAAGAATACAGAAAGCATCCTAAACATATATAATCTAATATTTCCCAGCAATGACAATTCTAGATCTCTCCAATTATGTCATTCGTGTGGGATTTGCAATAAGAGGGCAATGTAGTATAGCCTTTATCATTCCTTAATATATAAAATGCTTAAGTTTCCAGACATATATGCATTTGTCTCTTAGAGTACATATGTCTCTGTCTGGAAGACCCATCGCTAGCATTTTCCTTTTAGATGGATCCAAATGTTTTATTTTTTATTTTTTTATTTGTTTTTTTAGACAGGCACATAAGCCATATACAGACAAACACATGTACAGACAGGCACATATAGGTATACACAGGCACACACAGACATATGCAGATACACATACATACAGACAGACGTATACATATACACATTCAGACAAGCACAAACAAACGCATAGACATAAACAGACACACAGACAGAAACATACAGACATACACAAACAGAAAGAGACACATACAAGCACATACATATATACAAAGACACACATGAAGGTACACACACACATGCACACTATGAAACAAAAATATGTTTTTCTAGATTTCCTACCTAATAGTGCTCTGCTCAGTAGTGGAAGGTGGGTAGCAACCTATTAACGTTTGCAGGGCTAGCCCTGCACTTTCAAGCAATGCATTTGTGTGGTTTTGTCTCCATGCTGATGTCCCTCTCAGTCTCCTTTTTAAACCTTGACAGTAAGCAGAAGCAGTTCAGTGATAGAGATGTGGAACATTGTTAGAAATTCCCTGCGTCTCAATTTGAACTGCACTAGTATGCTGCTTCCACTCTCGGCTGCTATTTAATAAGGGAGAGTGGTGTGGAGACAAAAATCACACAGATTTTATGCTCTGCAACCACCACTGCTAAAAGATTCACAGCTGCAAAGCCCCTCACTTTGCGCTGTAACCCCCTAAAGCCCTCCCCAAGTGATTCACCCAGTGCAAGTCTGTAGAGAATAAATAACAAAATGTAAAAAAGTAGACTTTCATTAAGACTCCACATATAGACCAGAAGAACTGGTGTCTGAGTATCACTGAAATTAGTGCATATTTTTGTCTTAGGACAATTGTAATGAATTGGCTTAGCCACAACAATTACACATTCTTGTGTGTGTATTATGTACTTGAGCATAAAAAGGACAATAAGAGCAGATTGCCCAACTCTTAAATGTATTATTGCTAATATTCTAAGACATTATGTGTGTGGGGTAGCTGCTTGTAGTGTGTTGTGTGTATGGGGTCTGCCTGTGGTCTTTGTGCACTGTGTTTATGACTAACTGGTTTCATTATTGTGTGTGTATAATGAATGTCTTCAGAGGCTGACTGTGGCAGGGTGATTGAGAAAGGGCACGAGAGCTAAGACAGGGTTGGGGGTGAGTGTGGCATAGAGAGGGCGATTGTGACAGGGTGGGAGATGAGTTTAACAGTGTTGGGGATGAGTATGACAGTGCGAGAGAAGGTGAATGTGACAGGATTAGGAGGGTTTAATATGATAGGGTTAGTGTTACAGAGCCAGGGTATGCGAGTGTGGCATTGCTGGAAGAGGTGAGTGTGAACGAATTAAGAGGAGTTAATGATAGTGTGACAGGTTAAAGGGGAGTGACAGTGTGTGTGTGGTGTGATATTGTGTGAACCCCACACTGAAATTTCTTCTTTTTTAGGCAATAATTGATTCACTGTTGGTCTAATGGGTGCTAATCCGTGGCAATGCTTTGATTGGCCGGAGATCGTGAGACACCTATTTCATGGTCTGCAACTCTGCACGTGGCACAGCTGCAGACCAAAGTTGATAGTCTCTTTCTGGGCAGACTGAGTGGAGTGGCCTCACACCCAATGGCACACAGAATAAGCAACGTGCCCACTCCCCAGGGATCAGTCTTACCTACAAATATACAACATTGCTAGTTTATACTTGCTGATATGAGTTATTGAGAGCATTCCATTCAACAAAATGAAGAAAGATCAATAAAGGAAAAAAGAGGAGGAACACTAAAAATATTTACATTTGTATATGTGTATATATTATATATTTAATGAAGATTTGTAACTCCTCCTCCTCTTTTTACTGATCCTCTAGGTCTTCTGGACTCCATGCCTCGACACATCAGAACTGTTTTGGCATGAGGTTGACCTACACGATGTTAGGATGGTAGTTTAATGATGTTGCCAATCAATGCAGTTGTGAGCCCATTTTATTGGCTGTCTATTTTGTGTGAGTACGGTCCTCTACGCCAGTGTTCTCCAACCCAGTCTTCATGGACCACCAACAGTCCAGGTTTTGTCTGTATCTCCATTGGAATAAAACAGGGAAATACATAAATCCTGGACTGTTGGTGATCCATGAAGACTGGGCTGGGGAACACTGTTCTACGCATTGCAGACCGACTCACAAGAAATCTGACAAAGAAATATATTTGCCTATTGAAGTTTGGAACTGCAGTGACGGAAATATAACTGGCTTTTTTTTTTACATATTTTTTCTTTTCCACTGGGGTGCAATACAATGAACAAGATTACATTTATACATTTATTGCCAAACACCCACAAATCAATTTTTCCAAAACCTGCTAGTATTCTATGCATTGACCCTACATCTGTCCACTCTAGTTTTATTATACAAATGTTACAATGTAAGAATGCTTTTGCACGGTTTGTGTTCATTCTGTTCAGCACCATTTTAAAATGTCATCATTTTTTCCCTGAAGCTATATAAAATAACATAATGTCATCTAGAATGTTTCCCAGTATGAAGGCTAGCTGTAGCATGCACAAAACAGATTTCAAATAAATGGCTATAATCCTATTGTAATATTTTTTACAAACATATCTATCCATCTAGCTAGCAATCATGTATGCTTTTTGCGAATATATTTGCATAGTGCATAGTGTATGACACTAGTTGCCTCTTGCATGGTTGTATTTTCTATGATGCTTAAAAGACATTTGCCTTGAGCGACACTTTCCTGGGGGTGGCAAAAAATGTCGCTCCAAATGCCCCAGCAGATGGCTAGTTAGTTTTGTGTACTGGGGCTCCTATTCACTGCTTTGTGATGCTGGGAGCCGGAATATGACGTCACTCTAAGCAGCACATGAGGGAGCAGAGCAGGAAGATTACAGCTTTATAGCCACCTCCACTGACCGCTTACCTGGGCAGCTGACAGTGAAAGGATCCCCACTAGATCCCAGGGAAAGAGAAAATCCACTCCAGGACTCCCAAAGGTAGAGAAGCTGGGCGGATTGAAATAAAAAAATAAAAATAATAATGATAATTTGTGAATGTGTATGTCAGTGTGTGTGTCTGCCAGTAAATGTGTCATTGTGTGTGCGCGTCTGTCAGTGAATGTGTATTGCTGTCAGTGAGTGTGTCTGTCTGTCATTGTGTTTGTCAGGGAATGTGTATGACTGTCAGTTTGTATGTGTCATTGATTGTGTGTGTCTATCAGTGAGTGTGTGTGTGTATGTCAGTGAATGTGTAAACAAGTCTTTTAGATAGTGTGTGTCCGTGAATGTGTATAACTGGGAGTGTGTGTATGTCTGTGAATCTGTACGTGAGTCTAAGTAAGTGTGTGTGTCAGTTAAAGTGTGTGTTGGTTAAACAGGGTGTGTGTGCCACTTACTCTGTATCTGTCAGTGAGTGTATGCATCAGTGGAGGCGTGTGTCTGTCAGTCAAAATGTGTGTTGGTTTTAAACAGAAAGAGGTGCAGCCTTGACAGGAAGGGGTGGGGAAATTTTAGCTTGGGTGGGTGCCTGAGTTTCATAATGCCTAGGGCAGCACAAACCCAAAACAACCAACAGCCTCATGACCTTACATTGCATGAGTCTGCTTGAATCTTAAATACACCAGATACTTTACAGACTTTAGACATTGTGAAGGTTATGGAGTTTCTAAGCGATGTTTAGATATTAAGTCATCATCCGCAATAGCATATCCCTTGCTATATTGACTTATATGTACAATGCTACTTCTTTTTTTGGTGTGCTGGTTAGTTTGAATGCCAGCTCTGCATTTAAAATCTCAGAAGACAGTCAGAGTAGAAGAAAAAAAAAATCTATTTTGATAATGCAAATTTTAACATATACTGTGCTTTTCTTCTGAATAGACTCAAAGTTCTTTACTGTTATTGTAAGGAGTACAGAAGCTATATCTCTCTAGCCCCTTATTCAGTACTGCATGAATGCACTGGTATAATTATTATTTCAATATATATTTAATACAATTTACAATGTATAGATCATATTAAAAGATAAGTAATAACAACAAAAAATGAATGGAAAATTGTATATTGGAAGCAAGAGACAAAATGTCAAACACAACTATTCACATAAAGTTACACAGTGGAACTTTAAAATGCTATATTCAGACTTAATAATAGCTTTATTTCACTGTGACAAATATCAGTACCAATCTCCCCACAAAGTATTTCCTGTGTGTGAGGACAATTGAATTCCTATTGACATAGTATGAAAGTGGTTTACAATACATTGTAAACCAGATAATCTTATTAGATGCTCCATTTTAAATAAATTACTTTAGATAAACCATATGCTGTATGCATTATGTATAAACGCCTGGGAAGTGAGATGAACTGGGTTATACATTTCTTAAGCAACAACCTATGATCTGTGACGTTGGATTCTTTAGTGTAGCAGAGGTTGTCAAAAAGTAGTATCCATCACTTAAACTTCAATATTTCTTCAGAACAAAAATGTTAACTAAGGGACGGAGGGGGAAAGACATGGCACTTAGATGACTTCATGGAGATAAAGTGGTCTGGGTGCCTATAGAGTCCCCGTAAGATGCACATCAGAGACTGTGGTGTCAGAGAGTCAAAGCACACTATGCCTAGTCTATGTTACAGTTTTAACCTACTCTATTTAATAACTAATCATACAAACATTTCTTTAAAACAAACTCCCGCCTTGGTCATTACAGCAGAGCAGCAAAGTTCCCAGTTTGAACTCTGATCAGTTTATGAGTATAATGGGGGAAGTATGCCCACTTACAGTCATAAAGATTTGTTTCTAAGCTAATTTGGTGGAACCTACATAAACCACAAGGGATATGGTGTAAGCTATGATAAATTATACCCTCGCTTAATATTTCAGCACATGCTTAGCAAATGAAGTAAAACAATATACATTTATTTGATTTTACTACCTTAGGCATCCCTCAACAGCAATCTATACACAAAACAGCTGTTTTGTCCTAGATTTTATGCTGGCCATACATAGCTAGTTTCAACTAATTGTAACACTTATTTTCTTGCTTTTATGAAAAGAAATTGATAACAACTTAGAATCAAATAATCCTATAAACTACAATAACAATATATACAAAATATATATATTTTAAAAAAACAATTAGCATATAACACATTAGTTACGCATAGAACACATTAGTGTTATATGCTTAATTGGTTATTTTGTATATATTGTAGTTTATGGGTTAATTTGATTCTAAGTTATCAATTTAGAGGCCTAAATCTTTACAAGGAATACTTGTCAGGGATCAAGTAAATTCTCAAATGTACAGTTCCTTAATATTTGACGTTTTCTCCCTTGGGATAGAATGTTTGTTTTTTTTTTGTTTTTTTTTGTCTACGTGGAGTCTTTAAATGTTTTGTTCATTCAGTCTTGACTTAATCTAATCATTATTTTCTCTCAGTAACATCTGCAATTGGGGATACTTTTTAAATCCCCAGTTTGATATAATTTCTTTTTTAAAGAACGTTTCTGGGGTGACATTTTGCTGCTGAGCAGTAGCGTTTTAAAATGCTAAGTGTCAATACTAGTTCTGAACTGTTTAAAAAGAATTGACAGGATGAAGTATAAAAAATACTTTTAAACATTGCTTCTATAAATAATATTTATTAAAGTACAACATATATCTTTGCAATCACATTACAGATGAAATAACAAAGAATATTAGCATTACAGAAAATAGCAACATATAGCAATAGAAAGTACCCGAATCTCCCACAGCTCTGCATTTTATTATTATTTTTTAAGCACGGTGTAATGTGAAAGCAACATCTGGGTAGATCAAATACTGTAAAAAAAAAAAATGGGGGACACACTTGTTAACATGCATTCTCAGAGATCAGTGGCGCTGCTGTAAAGACCAAAATACAGATAAAAAACAGTGCACACAAAAAACAAAGGTAAAAAATAACCAAAAAGATTTTAAATCTTACAAGGCTTCTTAAAGTCACATCTAAGCTAACAAATATGGGGATTTTATTACACCATGGCCATATTGTATTAAGGCCACCACTATGTCACAGTACTGGAATATTGGTAGATCCCACAAAATTTACTTTCTGGTTAAACACTCCACTCCTCCACGCCAGGTGCCTCTTTGGAGGTGACCACAGGAAAGCATACATTTGAGCAGAGTCAGCTTAGCAAAGTTGTTTTCCAGACACTACAGCTCCCTATAGTGCCCCCAATGTCAAGGCCAGCCAACGTCACCCAGCAGTGGAGACCTAATGCGCGGCCAATGGCCACGCTCACATTACTTCTTCTCCATGGAAATCATTATACAATGCTTTCCTATGGGATTTCAGGTAACGTTAAATGCCCTCATGCATAGCATGAGGACATCCAGCATCAGGCGACCTTTGGTCGCCTAACAGTAGGAAGTCTTTTAGTGGCTGTCTGGTAGACGGCCAGTAGAGGTGGTGATAACCCACAAAGGTAATTATTGCAGTTTATTAAACCTAGGAATATGCTCACTTAAGTGGTCTGGGTACCTAAAGTGTCCCTTTAATCAGTAAGTATTACAGTTAGCATGTTCATCTAACATATTAAAATGAATGTAAGACCCACCGATATTGGGATATCTTAGTGGTCTCAACTCCAAGCCTTAATTAACAGTGCAATAAATTACAGGCACAAATACTTTCAGGGATGAGATGAAAATGACCCATGGTTATGTGTGTAGGCCAGGTCTGCGGCTGACCTGGGCTAGAGACCCCACTAAGGTCATGCAAAGTCCAGGGTCTGATTTTAGCAGCCTTTGTTTATTAGCTATGAGTCCCCTGAAATAGGTAGAGAGAAAAAAAAAACCCATCCAAATACATCAATTGTGACAGTGTCACTTTAATGCAAAAAATGTATTGCTGTGGAAGCATTGCTTTAACCATTCCACTACCAAGCAGTTTATGATTAAAAAAATATCAGCATAACATTTATTTGAAGCAGGGTAGCATAAGTAGCATATACACAAGACTTGAGCATTCAGTTCTTGCATTAAGGTATGTCTGAATTCTGGGAGATGGGCGATTTGTCTAAAATCCTGAACTACTATATGAGTCATGAAACAGACATTGGAGAAAACCATTTATCT